GGGGAGAGAGAAAGGAAAGGGGGAGGGAGGGAGGGAGGGACATTTCCCCTCTCTTTCTCCTTCCTTCCTCTCTTACAGAATCATAGGGCCGGAAGGGACCGCGGAGGCCTTTCAGTCCAACCCCCAGAGCAAATACCATTGGAGACAATGGCTGTCCTGTCTCTTCTTGAAAGCCTCCAGCAAGGAAGCAACCCCAATGTCCGGTGGCAAGATCTTCCACCCGTGAATTGTCCTCCCTGTTAGAAATCCTTCGTTCCAGGTTGCTCCTCCCTTTGATTAGTTTCCATCCGTTGTTTTTTGCCCTTCCCTCTAGTGCTTCGGAGAATAATTTGACCCCCCTTTTATTTGGGGCAGCCCCCTCCCCAAATCCTGGGTGGCCTTCTTTTCTCTAGACTGGCCAAACCCTCACAGTGCCTCCCGCTCCTCACCGGCTTCATCAGAGGGGTCGGCAAACCCGCAATCCAGCTCCCCATCGCAATAGTCCCGGTGAGGGATGCAGCGCCCGTTGTTGCACCGGAACTCCTGTGGCGAGCATCCGGGCGAGGGGCAATCCTTTTCATCCGAGTGGTCAGCGCAGTCAGCGGCGCCGTCGCAGCGGTACCCCCAGGGGATGCATTGCCCGCCGGCACACCGGTACTGGTCTGGAGGGCAGCTCAAAGGGCAGACTTCGTCCGATCCGTCCCGACAATCATCTTCGTTGTCGCACAGCCAGGCCATGGGGACACAGCGCCCGCCCGTGCGGCAAGCAAACTCCGATTCGGCACAGCGAGAGGAGGGGGTGCCACAAGTCTCTGGAGGGGCGGTACATTGCCACAGGCCGGCCTCACATGAGCTGGATGGAGGGGACAGAACATTATTGAATCAAGGAGGATGTATAACTAGCATGCGGGGGCAGAGGGGGCTTTTCACCCGAGCCACGACGATCAGGACCTTGAGGGTCTCATGGTTCAGCTTGGGCAGGGGGGTTGGACTAGATGACCTACAAGGTCCCTTCCAACTCTGATGATCTGTTATCTGTTATGTCTGTGATGGCTTGTTTTCATTCCCAGCCGGAATTAAGCTCAAACAGTTTCCCGAGATAAGCACCCACCTTTCAGTTCTGCGAAGTGCTGCCAAAAGCAGAAGTATCAAATGAACTAGAAAAGAAACCAACTGAAGTACAGATGATTCGGAACTGATCGAACTACTTTGCTTCCTGCAAAGGTTTCATCATCTTGGCCTGACTTTTATCCCTTAGGGGAGGGGCAATCTCCTCCCAGCCTTACTCCCAAGTCGCTCCTTTTGTCTCAGCTGCTTTCGCCTTCTAGCAGCTCTGCTAGACGCACTTTAGGAATAGGCTCCCCTTATTCCTCTGCCTCACTGCTGCCAGACTCTGGAGGCAGCACCCCACTCCCAGATGGTCCTGGCCCCATCTCTCCATTGGAGGCAGGACTCTCATCCGAGTCCTCCCCAGACTCCTGGACTGTCCCATGCTTCTCCCCACTGTCCGATTCTGCTGCCGTCTGCTCAGGCTTCCGGCAAACCATGACACTCCATGACGGGTTACACTCCCCCAGCAACTCCCAGAGCTTACCAGTTCCTGCACTCCTGTGTCATCAGCGCCCCCAGCGGGAATAAGATGCCCTCCCAGAAGCAGGGGCATTCGGACGGGTCGATGCAGCGTCCGCCTGGCAGGGAAGACAAAGAAGGAAGGTGGAGAAGGCCGAGGTCAGCAGAGGACGTGCGCCTGCGCCGGAGGGGCATTGTGTCTCTCCGTGGGGAATAGAATAGAATAGAAATGCAATAAGAATTAGGAATAGAGAATAGAATAGAATAGAATAGAATAGAATAGAATAGAATAGAATAGAATAGAATAGAA